AATAATACTATTCTAAATAAGCCATGCTCAAAGAAGAAATCACAAAAGAAATTAGAAAATATTTTGAATGAAATAAAAATGAAATTAAACAAAAGAAGGAAATAATAAAGAGCAGAAATCGCTAAAATTGAAACAGAAATGCAATGGAGAAAAGCAAGGAAGCAATGAAATCAAAATTGGTTTTTGAAAAGATCAATAAAAATTTTAAAACATTTGATAACTTAAATGGAATGGACAAAGTCCTTTGAAGACACAAGCTATATAAACTCACTCCAGAAGAAACAAATAACTAACTAGCCCTACGTCCATTAAAGAAATTGAACTCATAGTTTAAAAATCTTCCCACAAAGAGAATCCAGGCCTAGATGGCTTCCTGGTGAATAGGACCAATTTTACACAAACTTTTCCAAAAAACTGAAAAGGCGAAAGCACTTTTCAACTCTTAGGTCAGAGTTACCCTGATACTCAAACCAGTCAAAGACATTACAAAAATAAAATTTCTATGCCAATGTCCCTCATAAAAATTAACTCAAAAATCTTTTACAAAACATTAGAAAGTATAATTCACTAATAAATAAAAAGGATAATATATCATGACAAAGCACAGTTTATTCCAGGTATGAAAAGTTGGTTCAATATTTGAAAACTAATCAATACCATTTAGTTCATTAACAGACTAAAAAAGAAAACACAAGTGATCGTCTCAATAGATGCAGAAAAAGCATTTGACAAAATTTCACATCTATTCAGGATAAAAATTCTCAGAAAGCTAGGGAAAAGGGGAAACATCCTCATTCTTAATGAAGGACATCTATAAAGTAACCTATAGCTAACAATATATAATAATGAAAGAATAAAGACTTTTCTCCTAAAATCAAGAAAAAGATAAGGATGTTTAATCTCACCACTAATTTTCAACACTACACTAGAGGTCCTAGTCAGTGTAATAATAAGAGAAAAAGTAAAAAGACATACAGATATGAAAGGAAGACATAAATTTTTACTGACGATATGATTATCTACATAGGAAATTCCAAAGAATCTATTAAGTAAGTTTAGTAAGATTGTATGATATAAGGCTATATGGTCAATATGTGAAAATAAGCTGGACATTGAAATTACACAACAGTACCATTTACAATAGCATTTTTAAAAGACATGAAATACTTGGGGGCAAAACTAAATATATGCAAGGTTCAAATGCTGAATATGACAAAATTTTGATGAGAGAAACCAAGAGGAATTTGTAAAGGGACAGATATAATGGTACTCATGGATTGGAAGATTTGATATTGTCAAGATGTCAATTTTCCTCAAATTGATCTATACGTTCAATGCAATCCCAGTTAAGAAATCCCAGCATTGTGAATATTAAAAATGCTGGGATATATATATATATATATATATATATATATATATATAATGTTATTCAGCCTTAAAAAAGGATATCCTGCCATTTGCCACAATATGGATGAACATAGAAGACATTATACTAAGTGAAATTAGCCAGACATGGAGAACAGTTTTGCATGATCTCACTTATATGTAATATCTAGAAAAAGAGGTCAAATACACAGAGAGAATAAAACAGTGGTTATTAGCTGTGGGCAAGGAGGGAGGAAATGGGGAGATGTAGGTCAGAAGTAGTAGATAATAGATATGCAGGATGAACAAGTCTAGAGAGCTAATGTCTAACATGAATACCATAGCTAATAAAATTGCGCTGCATTTGGGATTCCTGTGAAATGAGTAGATTTTAACAACTTTTGCCAAAAAAACAACAAAAAAGGGTAATTATGTGAGATGATGGATCTGTTAATTCGCTTCACTAGAGTAACCATTTTACTATCTGTACGCATCACGCAATATCATGTTGTATACCTTAAACATACACAATAAAATTTATTTTAAAAACTAATAAAAATAAATTTAAAAAAAAAACATCAAAAAAGAGAATAGATTCAAGAGTTCAGAAATCAACTCATGTATACGAGGGCTGTCTTGAAAGTATCCAGCCATGTAACTGTTCTCGTTATATTAACAATGGCTGGATACTTTCCAGACAGCTCTCATGTATGTTCATTGACTTGCAACCAGAGTGGCAATATAATTCAATGGTTAAAAATTGTTTTAGTGGTGAGTTCTGGAGCAATTGGCTCTCTATGTGCTAAATAACCTTGACCCTTTTTCTGAACCATATACGAAAATTAACTTGAAGTGATCTCTATATAAATGTAAGTGCTAAATGTGCTAAGACAGCTGGAAGAAGAGGTAGGAGAAAATCTTTTTAAGCCTGAGTTGGGCAAAGATTTCTTAGATAAGGTGCAGAAAGCATAGAGCAAAACAGAAAAAAGATAAATAGGACTCAATCAAAATTAAAGACATCACTTCTTTGAAAAATGTTACAAAAAATAAGACTGAGAAGAAAATATTTGTAAAATACATTTCTGATAATACGTTAGTGTCCATAATATATAAAGAACTCTCAAAATTCAATAAGACAAGAAACTCAGTTAAAAAAAATGGGTAAAAGTTTGAATGGACACTTTACCAAAGAAGATACATAGATGCCAAATAAACACATTTTAAAAACTTAAATATCATTAGTCATTAGGGAAATGCAAATTAAAACTACAATGAGATGCCACTACATACCCATTACAATGGCTAAATTTAAAAAGTGCTATTGAGAATGTAGAGCAACTGGAAGCCTCCTACACATTATTGGCGGGACTGCAAAATGGTCAAGTCTTTAGCAGTTTCTAGTAAAGTTATGCATTCACCTACTATATGACACAGAAATCCCACTCCTGGTATTTTTTAAGAGACAGAGTCTCATCCTATTGACTAGGCTAGAGAGCAGTGGTGCAATCATAGCTCACTATAACCTCTACCTCCCAGGCTCAAGTGATCCTCCCATATTGGCCTCCCATTTTAACTAAGAAAAGTGAAAACTTGTGCCTACAAAAAACTTGAACAGAGATGTTTATAGAAGTTTTATTTATAATAAACAATAGAAACAACTCAAATGTTCATCAACTGGTGAATGGATAATTAATTTGTGGTACATTAATATAATGGAATACAACTTAGCAATAAAAATAAAGCATTAATGCAGGCAATAAAAAGGATGAATCTCAAAAGCACCGTGCTAGTGAAAGAAGGCACAAAAGCTACATACTCTCTGACGACATTTATATGACATTCTGAAAAGGCGAAAAACAGATCAGAAACCAGATCTTTGATTCCTAGGGACTGGAGGAGAAGGGAGATCGTTGACTATAAAAGACACAAGGGAAATTTTGCAGCGATAGAAATGTTCTGTAGCTTAGTTATGATGTGATTGTGGTTACACAACTATATACATTTGTCAAAACTCGTCACACTATACTCTTAAAAAAGGCAAATTTTATCATATGTAAATATTTTATAATAATAAACCTGAATCCTCCCCCATAAAAGCCCTAATTCACGAAAGCGTCAGTTTCCTCCTTTATAAAATGCTAGCCACTGTTATTATTTTTTTCTTACAAATTACCCCTTTCCATGGAAATGTCATCCTGGTCAAGATTCCTAAGCCACTGCTTTGATTAGCACTTGCTATTTTGTGTCATTGATAAATAAAGATAAAACGGATTTATGACAAACATCTATTATTATGCTTCATATGCATTGGTAACTTACACAACACTTAAACGAGTATGGCATTTAATAAAAGAGGCAGAAAAGAGTCAATATCTTTTCAGAATCCAAACAGACACCAGACTCCAGACCATGGTGAGAACAATTTGCTTTTGAATTCATGCCCTGCCCTCTTTTCTTAGTTTGCAATGGAATGTTTGTTGACTGGGTTGAAAGAAGTATTCTCAAAACTGTTTCTATTTATTTCTCATGGCTCAGGAGGTATCGGGGTTCTGACATAAAGCATTGTGATTTGTAAATGCATTTTCGTAGCTGACATAATTACCTTCAGAGTAAATGTGTCTGTTTTGTGATTTCTTCCCTTCCATTTCCACTTGGCCTCAAAACTCAACCTGTGTTTACATCCTTTTCCAATTTTAATAGTAATTCTTGTTGCCTAAACTTAGTGTCTAGCACCTCCACACATTTTCAGCCCCTAGATTTCCTAGATGTCTCATCCTATGGGCCCACAGTTCTAGTCATCCATTTCAACTGGAGACAAATCCTGTAAACCTACTCAAATCTGGATTTTCTAAACCAGTCCAATCTGTAAATTGTACCCCATGATCATTATTTTGCTTTTTAATAATAATAAAAACAATAATAATAATAATAATGTAACGACTATTACCATTAATTGATAGCTGGGTTCAGGGCAATGCTAAATGCCCACAACTAACCCTCACAACCATCACACGACATGGGTAGAATCCCCATTTTATGATGAGGAATTGAGACACAGAGTGTCTCAAGGCCTTTGCCCTGACCATATATATATATATCCCGTGAAGGGCAGACCTGAGCTCCAGCACGGGTATGATTCCAGAGTTCTTTCCCTGGCTGAGAAGGATCAAGAGCTCACCTGCCTATCAGCAAGAACATATTGGCCCCAGGAATTAACTTAGATCAAGCTTTTGGAAAAAGAGAAAGAAATGAGACCTCAAAAAATTACTTTGCAAAGCTTTCCTCTTAAGCTAGCCACTGAGAGCCTTCAGATCTCCTCTTCAGTCACAGCAGGGCCCAGTCTCCAGGCAACTGCTTTCTCTTTGATGACTGCTGGTAGGAAAATCCTGGTGGCAAATTGGCAATTATGCACCCATATGACCCTTACCTATATCCAACCCATGGCAGGCATCGTCAATCCATCATCGCAGTCTTTGCCACAGAGCCCAGAGATGATGGTGCCCAATCATTCTCATTATTCTGTTCAGACAGCCTCCAGAAATCGATTACCATTGATAGATAAGTTAAAAATCATTTATCATCTCTGTCCTAGCTGAGCTTGTTTGACTTGGTATTTTGCTTCTCCCCTTCTACAGGTAAAAGCAAAGACAAAGGTGGCAGGTAAGCTGGAGAGGTGTCATCTTGTGACTAGTCTGCTTTGACATCTTTCTTCTGAGATTCCACAACTGCTATCAAGATCTGTCAGCACCCAGAACACTTCAACATCTTCAGCAACATCTTCAGCAACCAGAATTTCATGCATCTACTTCTACATTTGCAAAGGGAAAGGTAGGCAAAAATTCAGCTATACTTGAGAAGAAAGAAATCTCGAGCAGCAGATCCCAACCCTGGCTACATGCTAAAATCACATGGGGAAGGCTTTAAACTGTACAGATTCCCAAATACAATTCTAGACTAATTCATTTCACATCTAGCTCTACATCCTAAAGAGCTCAGCAGTTTCACATCTAGATGTAAATGCACACATGTACACAAAAGAGACATGTAAAAAGATGCTAATTGTAGCACTGCTTGCAAATGCAAATTATTGGCAACACTTAGATCTATCAAAATGTTACATAAATAAATTGTGATTATACGTACACTGGAAAAATATGCAGCTGTTTAAATTAATGAGAGATCATGTATCAACATAAATACACTTTTAAGACACAAGTGAAAAAAAAGTTCAAAATATATGTGCTATTATGCCATTTATATAAATCTTAAAACAAGCAAATTTCATTTCACATATTATTTATTGACACATTGATATGAACAAAATAATGGGAAGACAGGAATGTAAACACAAGTTGTGGATAGTAGTCACCTATGGGGAAGAAGGGAGGGCAATGGGATGAGAAGCTTCAGCTCTGTCTATAATATTCTATTTCCTTAAAAAGTTCTAAAGCAAATGTGCCCAAATATTAAGGTTCAGCAAATATGTTCAATCAATTCAAGACTATTTTCATATTATTTTTAAATTTTTATATATGCCAAACTATTTCAACATAAACATTACTTTTTCTGCTATTAAGATCATCAAATGAGATGTCTGAAAAATCATTTACACAGTGTTCCTTAAATGGTAGTCAATAATTGACCATTAAATGCTAGATAGGTTTCTTATGAACTCATCGATTATGCTCAAAGATATCCATCATAATATATTTAAATAACATATTTGAAGCAATTTTAATGTCTAATAATAAATTGTTGTATAGAATATAGTACATTCATTCATGTGAACGGACACATGAAAAATTATGCAACCATTGAAATGATGATTTTAAAGACTAACATTATGGAAAATGCTTAATGCATAATGTTAAGTGAAAGAAACAATATGTAATATTAGATGCATATGTGATATCTAATTATGAGGAAGCTGCCATAAAAATTGGCATTAGAAAAGCAAAACACCAGAAGAGGTGATAGAATTATGGGTGATTTAGCTTCTTTACTCTTTTTTGCAATTTTTGTGCTAATTTCTTATAATTTAAAAAAATGAAGAAATCATATGGAATTCATATTTTTCTAGGTAGCATCCAAAGAAGATAGTACCACATGATTCACACTCTTAGAGAACTGAGAGTCTGAGAGAGAAGCAGATATACACAATGGATTTGAGGATGATGATGCTAACGATGAGTTTTTGAGCAATGGCTTTTGATATATTGTTGCCAACCCTTACAAAATCTGGGCAATTTTTGAATTCTTGTTCCTAATATAGCTGAAGCTCAGAAGACATATGTGACTTTCACATTTTCTCTCTCCCCAAATACCCCAAAGAGCTGCTCTCCCTTCTCCCCTCACCCTACTTTCTTCTCCGAACTCGGTTCTAGCATCATTGAGAAAACAGAGGCAACCACAAGGGGTCTTCTACTTCTACAGACCCCAGCAGCACAACTAGCCAATTGCTAGATGTCCGTTCATAGATCTGCCCTCTCCCCGTGTGTGAACTAGCTCTATGCCCATCTAGCTAAGCCCCTCCACCTGCGCACCGGATTGTATCTCTTCTCTTCCTTTCTCCTTCTAGCAATTCTCTCCTCTCTCTCTTCTACATAGTTAAATTTGTCTACTGGAACTTTCCCTTCAGCAGAAAAACATGCAGTTTTTCCTTCCTTCAAAAAAGAAGACATATAGACTGTGGACTCGAATAAAAAATTTAAAAAAAAGCAATATAACACATTTTATTAATCCACTCATGTATTGATGTGCACTTAAGCACATTAATAAAATCTGGTATGTGTATACCATGGAGTACTACTTAGCCATAGTAAATGGTAGATTAATAAAATGTGGCATATGTATAGCATGGAGTACCACTTAGCCATAAAAAAAATGGTGAACTAATACCGCTTGTATTATCCTGGGTGCAGCTGGAGCCCGTTCTTCTAAGTGAAGTATCACAAGAATGGAAAAACAAACACCACATGTACTCACCATTAAATTGGTACTAATCAATTAACACTTATGTGCACATATAAAAGTAACATTCATTGGGAATTGGGCAGGTGGGAGGGAGGGGAAGAGGATGGGTAAACTCACACCTAATGGGTGTGGTGTGTGCTCTCTGGGGGATGGGCACACTTGTAGCTTTGACTTGGGTGGTGCAAAGGCAATTTATGTGACCAAAGTGTTTTTATCCCTGTAATATTCTGAAGTAAAACAAAAACGAAAATCTCTGTGAAATGTATACCTGCATTTTACAGCAGGAAACTGAGGTCGATGGAAATTAAGCTTAAAAGTCATGGCACTGTTTTGGCTCTCAGGATGTATGAAATAAAATTCCCTTGACACTAAAGGAAAAAAGAAGAAGAAGAAGACAATTCTTTTTGACTCCACTTCACCATCCTAACTCCAAAACCCAAGCTTTTCTACTAAGCTCATGCCAAGAAAAGGGGGAGAACATTCATATGCTAGGGGGAGAACATTCATTGAAAAAATAATTGAAAATAGGCATATTATATTGCAAAGGACCCCTCGAAACCTCTGTTCTCTTTCCAAATGTGCCTTGGAAAATCTCTTCACATCTTTAACTCTGGGTTTAGGCTTCATGATTTTGAAGGTTGTTCCATGCAACAATATCATGCATGTCTGAAGCAGGTTATGAGGCCATTACTGTCCGTTGGTTTTTAAATGTGGGTATGTGAGAATGGTTGTTCATGGAATGTGGTATAAGTCAGAAAATATTTTATGTTGAGTGAAATGAGAGATGAAAAGATCTCAGATTCACGAGTGTGTACTTAACCTTAATGAGGAGAGCCTTCAACTCAGGGAAGCAGGTAGGGTTATACTGTGCCTTAAGGTGTAGCCTTGGAATCAATCAGGCTTAGATTAGAGACCCAGTTTTGACATTTGCCAGTTATATAACCTAAGGCAAGTTATTTAGCCATTCTGAGTTTCATTTTCCTTGTCCATAAGAAAAAAGATAGTGATAGTACCTATCACATAGAGCTGTTGTAAAAAAATTATATGATATAAGCAAAGAACTTAGCATAGTATACTACTATACTCAGTAGATGTTGGTTGGTACTATTAATATTAGTATTTGTCTTTTATCAATAAATGTGATGTTAGTTGTAGGGTTTTGTAGAAGTATTGTTGCTGAAAGACTAAATGCTTTCTCAAAGTAAGGATATTCATTCACGTGACTCCTATTCAACATTGTATTAGAGGTCTTAGCCAATGCAATAACGTAAGAAAAAAGTTTTCATGTTAAAAAGGAAGAAATAAAACTGTCTCTATTCACAGATAACATGATCGTTATATAGAAAATGCCAAAGAATCTACACTAATATGTTGTTACAGCATAAAAGGACTAAAAAATCAATTGTTTTTCTATATACTAGCAATGAAAAAATTAGAATTTTATATAGCAATATAATTTATAGTATTATCAAAATCATGAAATGAATAGTATATATCTAACAAAATTTGTGCAAGATCTATATGCTAAAACAAAAAAACTGAAAAAAAATTTTGAAGACTAAAATAGAGAGAGATGTCAAGGTTATGGATTGATAGGCCCAATACTCTAAAGATGTTAATCCTTCCCCCAACTGACATATAGATTTAACACAATCCCATTCAACATTCTAGTAGGAATTGATAAATTGTAATTTATATGTAAAGGCAAAGTAATTAAAATAGTAAAAACAATTTGAAAAAGCATAAAGTTATAGAATGTTACACTATGTAATTTAAATACTTAATATAAAGTTACAGTAATTAAGACAGTGTGGTATTGGTGCAAAAATAGGCACATAGCTCGATCAATAGCATGGAATAGAGATCCAGAAATAGACTCACACATATATGGTCAACTGGCTTTCACAAAGGTGTAAAGACAATACAATAAAGAAAATAGTCTCTTCAACAAATTATGATGGAACAATTGAACATCCATATGAAAAATTAAAATCAAAAACAAGAAAACCTCCACCCATATCTTGCACCATAGGCATCAATGAACTTAAAGTGGACATAGACTTAAATGTAAATTCTAAAGCTATAAAATTGCTAGAAGAAAGCACGGGAGAAAATCTTTGTGATTTTAGCTTAGGCAAAGATTTCTTAGCTATGACACCAAGAGCATCATATACATAAAAGAAAAAATTCATAAATTTGGCTTCATATAAACTAAAAGCTTTCATTCTTCAAAATACAATTAAAACAATCAAAGGAGAAAACTAACAATCCAACCAAAATGGGCAAATATTTGAATAACACTTAACAAAGAAGTATACCAATGGTAAATGAGCACATAAAAGGTGCAAATTAAAACTGCAATGAAGTATCAGTACAAAAATATTAGATTGGGAGAAAAGATAGATAATGCAAATTACTGGTGAGTGTGTGGAGTAACTAGAACTCTCATTTATTGCTGGTAAGAAAGCAAAATGATACAGCCACTTTAGAAAAAAGTTAGGCAGTTAACTCATAAAGTTAAATATATACTTGCCATATGACCCAACAATCCCATTCCTAGGTTATTGACCCAAAAGAAATGAGAACATATGTTCACACAAAACCCTGTATTCATATGTTTAAAGCAACTTTATTCATAAATAACAGACACTGGAAATGACTCAAATGCCTTTCAACTGGTAAATAGGTAAATAAGCTATGTTATATCTAACCAGTAGAATATTACTCAGCAATAAAAAAGGACATACAGATATACACCATAGCATAGATGAATCTCAAATGAATTATATTAAGGGAAATAAGCCTGTCTGAAAAGGCAACATTTTATATGATTCCTTTTATATGATGTTCCAGGA